AGGAACAGCCATAAAACCACCAGATATGCTTTGAGGAAAAATAGAATCTTAAGCAAGCAGCCAATATCTCTTTACATAAAGAAGAAAAGCTATACCTGACATTGGCACTTCTGACTGACTTATGGGAAGACATTCACCATTGGCAACACGGATTTGCCACTCCACAAGATCTTGTCCAACAATCATCTCAGTTACAGGATGTTCAACCTAAGAAGTGTTACCCATGCTTCCTTTAGTTACATATATAGTCCAGTACTTATTGAAGCAAACGATATTAAACAAATAAGATTAGAGAAGCACCTGAAGCCGGGTGTTCATTTCCATAAAATAAAACTGACCGGAAACAGTGTCAACTATGAATTCCACCGTCCCAGCACTGTAATATCCAACTGCCTTTATATATCAGAAGGCAACAAAATATAAGCACCTTTTGTATAAGATAGCCTAGCAAGAAGAAGTTTCCAAAAACAAACAACTAAAAAATCAATGACTAAATATTCTCCCTCAAAGATTCAGATAAAAGAAAACTAGAGTTAGCATCTTAGAAGAAATTAGCACACAGGATCTCCCAGTGGATCAGACCATCAAGTACAGAACACAACAGAGAGTGGCTTAAGCACACACTGTTGACGTTGTCAAAAGAAGAAAAAAGCATACTATGTTGACAGAATCTTGGCACCAGAGTCACTAAGATTACTTGCTGAAATGCATGATCAAAGACATACCCGTGCTGCCGCGACAGCAGCTTGACCTAACTCTGCGCGAAATTCCTCGGTGACATTAGGCTGCACCAGTATAGTTTCAGTCACAAACAGCCATTTTTGCTGAAAGAATATACAAACCACTAAGGAAAGGAACATTTATTACAGCAGGAGCTTCTTCAATAATCTTTTGGTGTCTTCTTTGGACACTGCAATCCCTTTCGTACAGATGCAAAATATTACCATGTTTGTCTCCAAATATCTGAAAGCAAAAGAGATTCAATGGAACATTAGTGTACATCATAAACACAATCTACCTGAAAAAAAAACAGTTTTTACGTGAACAAAAAATTGTTGATGAACAGTTGAGGAAATGGAAACAAATCAAGAATCATTACTACATGATCAAGGATAGTCAAAAGGAATTAACAGTTTGAGAAGAGGCAAGACATTTTTTGCCTTTCATGCATAGTGGATTCAGGGTTTAAGCACCATATCAACCAGAACAGAATTCCATAACAGTTATAAAATATATAATTTTTACAACCCGTGTTACCTGAACTTCGATGTGCCTTGGTCGAGTGATGTATTTCTCAAGCAAAATCGTGTCAACGCCAAAGGAGGCAGCAGCCTCACGTTGTGCACCCAAAAATGAATCAACAAAGTCCTTCTCATTTTCAACAATCCTCATTCCCTACAAGTAGAAACCTCATCAGTACTTCATTTCAAATGCAATGGAAGTGTGGAGTCAATTAACAAACTAAAATAATATCTAGGTCATTTGATCAATAGTCCCCCTTTACCCACTTGAATAATTTAGTCAAAACCATGTTTCCAACATATCTCAATGATGTCAGAATGACATATGAGCAGTAGATTATTACAACAAGCTAGTTACTGGAAGAATCAAAGTTAGATGTGCAACACCTTTCCTCCACCTCCATGTGTTGGCTTGATTAAGATAGGATACCCAATTTTTCCTGCTTCCATCCTCATATGATCGATATCTTGCTCACTGCCATGATATCCCGGCACCAGAGGAACTCCAGCCGCACCCATTATTCTCTTGGAAGCACTGCATAAACACAGGTAGTCAGAAAATATTCAAGAAAATATCAAGAAATGCTTGTGCAGAGATGTATGAAGCGACAAATGCATGCTAGGACCTTTTATCCCCCATGTCACGTATTGCAGAAGCTGGAGGTCCAATAAATTTTAGTTCTGAATCTTCACAAAGTTGAGCAAAGTCGCCACTTTCGGACAAGAAGCCATAGCCAGGATGGATCGCCTAGTGGTAGTTAGAGGCAAATATCAGTTCTGAAATCGATGTTTCTCTAACGAAAAGTAAACACGAGCAGCAACAATCAAATGGCACCAATTAAGCAGCCAATAGAAGAATGAAACGGGAATGAAAATCCTGATTATCTGAAACCCCTCAAATGATCCATGACGCATAAAAATGAACTCTTTCAAGTTCGAATTTTAGAAAGTTTCTTTTCCTTGTCTCAGAATTTCTCGGGAAACAAACAACAGACCCATCAAACTCACACCTGCGCACCAGTGCGGACCGCAGCCTCCACGATAGACGCTCCGCTGAGATAACTGAGCCGAGCCGGCGGCGGGCCAATTCGAACAGCCTCGTCGGCGGACTTAACGTGAAGAGAATCTCTATCGGCGTCACTGTAAACAGCGACAGTCCGAATTCCCAATCGCTTCGCGGTTCTCATGATCCGGCAAGCAATCTCGCCTCTGTTCGCCACCAGAACCTTGTCTATGCACTGCTTCCTGGGCTCCGTCGCGGCTCCGCCGCTGGAAACAGAGCCAGAGATAAACCTAACAAGAAGAAAAGAACGTTCTCGACGGAGATTGCGGCGAAGTGTTGACGCCATTGTCGACATGGTTCTCGAGCTCGAAGGACGCCGACGCCGGAGACGCTATTACCGACGGAAACAGGGAGAGTGACGGCAAGATATATACGATCAAGGAGGCTATTTTGGTCATTCAGTCTTTCTAAAAAAATAATAATAAAGAATATATATGTACGACGTGGCGAACTTTGACTGGTGATGTGAAAACGGATATGCATATGATGTGCTGCTTACGTTGCATCGTTACCTTCTGAGTCTACCCACCACTTAGGTCTTAGTGGGCTTTCTCGATTCTAATTGGGCTTTACTCAGATTTTTTAAATTTAAATTAAAGCCCAAATACATAAAAAGGATCTCATTTTAATTGGGCTTAGAAATAAGAGACCATTGGGCTTACAATTTAATAATTAGTATCGGTTTTCTTACAAAAAAAAAAAACTGTCAATTATATAATATATCACAAATCTATATATATAAAATTACAGTGGATTCACGTGGTCATGACACGTGTCCACTTTTTTTTGTTAATTTTTTTGTAATTCTGATTCTAATTATTAGAGTAAATAATATTTAAAAATTTTCTTTATTGGATTGGATCAACGCTTTGTAAATGTAATTAAAAGTCTCCGGAATTCCAATTCCATTAAAGAGGCTCAAAAATCTTTGAGACGGTTTAAGGGTCAATTAAAAAAATTCTAAACTATAAAATAAAATATATGTTCTCGTTTTCTCATCAACGATATCAATTTGATGATGGAGGAATAGACAGTGATCTTCAAGTGAGGCTTAGCCAACCTACGTAGAATGTGAGTTTTTTTTTTTATGTTTTGTATATTATTGTGTGTATTATATTATTATCATCGTCATCGTATCAATACTTTTTTAATAACATTAAAGTTGTTCGCAAGTGATTATTTGACTAATATTCAATATATATAAAGTTGATAAAGAATATTGATACGTTTTTTACAAACAAAGACGATTGGCAATCCATCTGTCTTGGAAGAAAAACTGTCATATTTCATTACTCAGCGAGTTGCAAACAGAATTCTACAGGCCAACAACAAAATCCACCTCTCTGGATTTCTGTCGAACCTCAACGGAAGACACTTGATCAGGTATAATTGAATTTGAATTTATTCACCACCAGACGGACAAACGAATACAATTTATGTTTCAGGAAAACAGATTTTGGATAAATCAGATATTATGACCGGTAGAATAGTTGACATCATGATTCTAAACAATATAAGACCAAGGCCATAAACGAATTAGTCTTGGTGGGTTGGCTAATGTAAAAGCCTCGAATGGGTTGAACAACAAGATGATCCATCTACAGAAAAATGAATCTCCAGATCAAATGACTCTACCAGCGACGTGTTCACAACCCGTTTGATCCGATCAACTCCAAGGCTTCGGTGTCTCATCGTTTTGGTCTGGGAAAGACGACATCATTATTATACGTTATATATATATATATATTCATCGATGACTTGTAAAATGTTGGTCTTCCAATGGCCACCTAACGATATTATAGAAAGCCGCAAGTTAATATAAAACGCATTAATATTTAAACATATATAGACGAAAAAAAATAATGTTTGTAAAATGAATGCGCAATCTACAATAACATAATATATATATATATATATATATATGTATATATATAGGGTTTGGTTCTGTTTTATGTGACACTTTATATTTTGTATTCAATTGAAAAATCTAAATATATAATTGGAATGATTTGAACACTTGTTCTTGCAGTAAGATGGTATACTACTACTAATTTTCTAATTTGAAAAAAGGCCAAATAAAAAAAAATTGTAAAAACGATTTTTAAAATAAGAACATGAAATAATTAAAAGTAGTTTTCTTTGGTTCTTACGGATTTGAGAAGACCCGGGCAAAACGGGTTAGCTAAGAAGTTGAATCGTTAAGTCAAATTATAATATAAGATTAATAATTAAAATTAAATAATAAATCCAATAACTAAACCGGCCGGTTTACAATTCAGTACAAAACGGGTACGGTTTTTAAATCCGGTTATTAGGTTTGAGTTACGAAAGGAAAACCACGTGAGCTCTCTTATTGGAGAAGGCTTAATAGATTTATACAATTTCTATATTAATCAAAATTAATTGGCTATTTCATAAATAATCAATCTAAATATTCGAAACGTAACATCACATTTGATTAGATACTATTTTTAATAGAATCCAATAGAAGACATCATAGTTTGGCATTATTTTAATTTAGTATATACTTTAAAAATAATCAGTACGAATGTTAATTACTAATTTATAGGATTTATCTAACATGTATTTATAGGATATATATATAATTTCGCAGTATTAAATATCTCAAAACAAATATAATTTGTTCTTTTTTCGAATTATAACATAAATTTATTTGTATTGTTAAAAATAGTGTGTATTCGTATAAATTTAGAATATTCGGGAAAAACATAAACAGATGGAACAGCTTTAATCATTTTAAAATACGCAACAAATAGCCCCTTTATTTTCTTCATTACATGCATAGATTAAGATTAAATTAAATTGGTGCTAATGTGATTATTAATTTAATAATATTGTAAAAAGAATAATTTAATCTTTTGGGACCACTGCGATAAGGTTTGCTCCTCCACATGATTCTACCGACTACTCTCCTTCTTTGTCGTATTCTGAAATTAATAAAACGAAATTAATTAATCTAAGCATAATCAATTAAAATGACATAATCACTCTATTAATCGATTAATTAACTTATCGTTTCTTTGCATTTGTCTTTTACTATTACTTTATTTATTTCGTCCAACCTCACCTTGGACCAATCTTCGGACACCAAATCATGATTAACTCCCTCTAATCCCTGTTTTAAGTCCAAGGGACCCACTTGGGCAATTTAGAATAATACAAAATATTGTGACAAATTAATATTAGTACAAAAAAGAGTTTCATTATGTTTATTATATCATCATAGAATTATATATATATATAGATATAGATAAATATATATATACACACACATGCATATTAATTCACTAATATTTAAATAAAATTTATTATTATATATATACATATTAACGATCCGTCCTTGGTTTTCCCTTCTATGATTCCCCTTTCATATCTGTGTATGATAAAGATGCAAAAACTTTAAATTAAAGTTCACAAATTTCATTTTTTCTTGACTCAGGCAGATCAAGAAGAAGAATCCGCAACACTCTGCAACCCTTTGCGTTTAGATAGTTAGATTTTATGATGTCATATTTATTTATTTTTTAAAATATCCTCTTCTCTCTCAATTCTCTCTCTTCTGTCTGTCTCCTGTTCTCTCTATATATATATATATATATTTAATGAAGTAGTATAGTGTTCAAATTATTATTATTATTATTATGTATCTTTAGTCCTATTTATGTATATTGTATAGAATTTTGATTATACAATTTGCTCTTCCCAAGTGTATGTTTTTTTAACAACGGGCCCATTAAAAAAGAAGGGTTCGGCCCATTACAAAACTTGTAACGAGTAATATTATTAAGCCCAATTTTAAAGTATTTTATCGATGAAAAACCAAAGTAGGGTTTCTGAAAAACCGCTTTCGTGCCTCTGTCTCTCTCTCTTTCGTGTCTTTGTGTACTTCTCCTCAGCCGCTTAGATAGTTAGATTTTGTGATGTCATATTTATTTGTTTTTTAAAAATCTCCTACTCATCTCTCTCACTTCTTCTTCATCTGAGTTTCGATACTCTTCTGTCAGAATCTCATATTCGACAATCTCAGGTGAAGCTCTCAATGATTTAGCTTTCTTTGACGGATCCCTAATCTCAATTTTAAAATAATTTATTGATTAAAATCAAGTTCTAAACATACAAAATAGGGTTTCTGAATCATTGGCCAAAAAAAAAAAGGATCCTTGTCGTAATCTGACGATTTTCTCATCATCCAGGTAGACGAGAGCCGACGGAGACAACAAGTCATCCAATCGTAAGAACAAGGTGCGTTCCCATTCTGATAAACCAATTATTATTATTTGATTTATAGTTTATATCTTTAAAATTTGTTTTTTTTGGGTAAGATGTTACAATTTCTGATGTGAATCTGGTTATTATTATTATTATTTGATTTATAGTTCATATCTTTAAAATTTTAATGTTTAGTCTAACCTAAATAATTTTATAGATGGTAATACTTATGGGTGGTGTTTTCAAAAGTTTTTTTTTGGTTTTAATGTGATTGTGTATTGATCAAATAAAAGAACCAACATTAGTTTTTACAAAAGAGGCTAATACAAAAAGCAATTGATTCCCAAACGTAAGTGGGCAAAAATATATAGTGAACACGTTGACGAATTCTAACGACGGCCTTCAGTTAGATAGTACTAATCCTCTAGGAGACTGCTTGAAGTCGGGTTGCTCTTTAACTGTATGGACAACAATAACGTGCGCATGTTGCGGTCAAGCTTGGCTCGCATAACCTGGATCGTTCTGGACTTTTGCTTGAAAATCCTGCCATTACGTTCATTCCACAACATGTCAACCACCTGGTGAAGAAGAAGTTTTGAAATGACTGACCGATTTCGAGTAAAATCCCTTTGAGCGTTCTGCCAAGCCTGACAAAAAGTGATGTCTGTAGGGGGCTGATCCTAGAAACATTCCGCAAACCACTCCCAAAGTGCCTTACTAAATGAGCACTGGAAAAAAAGATGACCGTGTGACTCATCCTCAAGGTTGCATAAGCAACATGTTCCCTCCACCTGACATCCCCACCGTATTAGTCTGTCTTTGGTAGGTAGTCTTTTGATCAACACCTGCCAAAATAATATCGCAAGTCGTGGGGTTGTTTGGGATATCCAAACATACCTGAACCAATCCACTTGTGGTGTCCTCTGTCGGATTTGTTCCCATGTTCGCGATGTGGAGAACATCGCCTTATAATCATCTGTACCCTGCTTCCAAAGCGAAACATCATGTCCCTTTGAGTCATTCGGTGGTTCTGTTGCTGCCAATTTAATCTGGATCATCTGAATTGCTTCTGATCTAGCACCCGGTAAGCGCCAAGTCCCATCCGTAACAGCATTTGCAACCGAGGAGGCAGGATTGATCCTAAGTAGCCGGGGTCCTTCGTCTCCAGCAAGAGTAATGAAGGGTCCTAAATCTGTCCAACAATCATCCCAAAAGTTGGTTGTCTTCCCATCCCTGACCTCTTTCCGAAGAAACATTCGAGCTTGTTCTCGGATTAGAATCAACTTTCTCAAAATCCAAGAGCATCTATTATTAACCTTACATGTCCAGAAAGATCCTGCCTTGAAAACATTCCTCCTTGTCCAAGCTGCCCAAAGGGATCCAGACTTAGTGAAAAGTATCCAGATAAGTTTTAACCTGAAGACAGTGGTATAATCTGCAAGCTTCCTTAACCCAAGACCACCTTCCTTCTTAGGCGAGCATATTGTATCCCAGGAGACTCGATATGACCCGGTTGCAGTTTGATTGCCTTTCCATAAGAAGGACGCACATAACCCGTCCACCTGCTTGAGAAAGAACTTTGGAAGGGCAAAGACCGAGCTCCAAAAGTTAACAAGTCCATAAATAGCCGTAGAGATTAATTGTAATCTTCCAGCATAAGAAAGATATCGATTGCTCTAAGCTTGCAATTTTTGTGTTATTCTCACAAGCAAAGGTTGAAATTCAGCCCGCGGTAGCTTAGACGGATTAAGTGGCACTCCTAGGTACTTGACCGGTAATGAACCCTTGCGGATGCCTATTGCTGCGATTAATGTGTTCGCCTCTTCTTCCCTTACTCCACCCAGAAATATTTCAGATTTGCTCTGGTTCAATACTAGCCCCGAACATTTACTGAAATCATGCAGAATATTCATGACCTCCTGGAGGGAAGTCTTGTCGGCAGAGCTGAAGATCTTCACATCGTCGGCGAAAGAGAGATGTGTTATGGTAGGTTGGGAGCACCTCGGATGAAGTCTGAACCTACCACTCGCAGCTCCTTTATCTAGCATTCTAGACAACACTTCCATAGATAGAATAAACAAGTAAGGTGACAGTGGATCACCTTGTCTTAGCCCTCTTCTGCCTTTGAAATAACCGACTAGCTCTCCATTTATGGCAATCGAGAACTTTGGAGTTGTGACACAAGCTTTGATCCAATTTACAAAGCGAGTCGGTAGATTCATAGCCCGAAGTATTCGCATCAAAAACTCCCATGAAAGGGTATCAAAGGCCTTCTTGATGTCAATCTTTACCATAGCGCTAGCTGGAGTGTTTTTGCGGTTGTATTCACGGATCAATTCTGTAGCCAGCAAGATGTTCTCCATCATCAGTCGTCCTTTTAAGATTGCTGTTTGGTTAGGTGCTATGATCTCCTGCAATATTGGTTTAAGTCGCTTTGCTAACAATGTAGAGATGATCTTATAAACGGTGTTGCAGCAACTAATTGGTCGGAAATCCGTTAGCTTCGATGCTCCTGCCTTCTTTGGTATCAATGCAATTGTTGTGGCATTGGTTTGTCCCAGCAACTGCCCAGATTCAAAGAAACTAGAGACTGATCTGATCAAGTCAGCTCCGGTAATAGACCATGTTGATTGGAAGAACTCCTTCGGAAAGCCGTCTGGCCCCGGTGCCTTGTTGTCCGACATTGACAACAAAACCTGCTTAATTTCCACAGCAGAGGGGAAGCGGGTTAGTGACTCAGGCAAATTGGAAGAGCAAGAGTACCTCAGCATGTCTTGAAGAGTTGATGTTGAAGGGGGAACAACTGTGTCATCGGTTTTGCCAATCAGATTGCTGTAATATTCAACGACATGGCTCTTGATATCCTCTATTGCTGTGAGACGGTTCCCCGCTTTGTCCTCAAGGAAATGGATATGATTGTGGGCATTCCTTGCATTTGCCACCTTGTGGAAGTAAGAGGTGTTCTTATCACCTAGGCGTAACCATTGAATTCTGGACTTCTGTCTGAAAAATTTCTCCTCGGCAACAGACAGAAGGATCCATTCCTTACTGATTTCTCCAGCAATATCTTCTCCGAGTCTGGAGAGTGCAACAGCTCGGCCTGAACCAGTTTAAGCTTGACCTCCTCTGCAGCTACTCGCTTTGATAGGTTACTAAATCGACACATGTTCAATTGCCGGAGAGGCTCCTTGATCATTTTCAATGCTTTACAAAGCTTGAATTGGTCATTCCCATGCCATAAAGATGTATTCCAACAGTCACTAACAACCTGCAGAAATTCTGGAACCAACGTGAGATGGTGCTGGAATTTGTAGGGTCTCCGTACCTTTGTCGGGAGGTCTGGGAATCTGATAATACAAGGGGCATGGTCCGAAGGTCCCTGGGGAAGAAACTCGGCGTATGAGGTCATATGCTGGTCCATCCAAATGCCATTGCATAAGGCTCTATCGAGTTTCACCGATAGAGGGTTAGCCGATTGGTTATTGCACCAAGTAAAACGCATTCCGAAGCTTGGAAGGTATGCTAAACAAACAGATTCAATACAGTCAGCCAACTCTTGCCTCCCCTGGCTCTGCGAGACTGGGGTAACACAATCAGATCGGTCAGTCGCATATAACGGTTGGTTAAAATCGTCCACAATTAACCAAGGAGATGCAGCCAGAGGAGGGTAGACGGATAGCTGTCGGATTTCTTGCCAGAGTTCTTGTCTAACAGAAGACTGATTACTAGCATACACAAATGTGGCAGAGATTGCCAGAGAGCAATCCGGAGAGCAGATAGTACAGGTTATTGCTTGCTTGGACATGGTGTAGACGGTGACTAGGAGAGAAGGGTCCCAGACTAACCAAATTCTTCCTTGTTGATCTTCATCATAGTTGCATATAGCTCGCCATGACGATGGTAACGCACCCTTAATTCTTTCTGAGTTCCCTGCGAGGATATGTGTTTCCAATAGGCCTCCTACCAAAAGTTTGTGTTCTAGTATCCACTTGCGAACCAAAAACTGTTTATTACGGCTATTGAGCCCTCGTGTATTCCACGCAAAAATCATGGGAATCAAATTACTTTTTTAAGTGCCTCTCGCGGCCTTTTGACCACGGCCTTTACCCTTCTGTTTCGAACCACTTGGCCCTGAACTGCTCTTCTGCTGACTATTGTAGCTAGGCTGAACGATTCCTAGGCTAGCCCTTTTGGCCTCTAAACCCGGAGATGGTTGTTTCCGATCTTCAAGTGTTGTGGGATTAACATCCAGTTGCTGAGGTTTAACTGGACTCTTAGATGTGTCAACCTCTTCGTTTCCTTGAGCCAGCTGCTCCGAACCATTCTGTAACATAGGGGCTATTACTTGGCCTTGTGGAGGAGAAGGGGGAAGATCTGCCGTAGGTTGCTCTGAAGCTACAACGATGGATTGGGGTATCTGATCCTGCTGTATTTCACGGCTCATGGCCGAGTGTGGATGGACAATCTTTCGATCAAGCGACGACTGACTAGCCACTGGCTGGCACACTTTGCAGATTGGATTGGGCGGGGGAAGCTCTTTGCAGAAGCTACAGGTGGGTAGTAACCAATCATATGCGACTTCGATAATATGCTCTACTCCATCAGGAAGGTGAACAACTAGTCGTGTGGGTAAGGGATTATGGAGCTGTACTTCCGTGTAGACCCGAGCTAAACTGAGATTTTCCTTGTTGACTGTAGCTCTATCCAAGTATAAGGGTTCTCCGATCCCTGTGACCATTCGACTAATACAGTCAAAGTTGTAAAGGATGTGTGGAAGTTTCCTTAGGGTTACCCAGGTGTTGATTGCCCGCATCGGTGGCTTGTGCGGATTGTGATTGGGATTCCACGATGACAAACATCGTGCATGGACCAATGTACCAGAATTTCCTAGCCAATATTCTGTTTCGCATTTCATCACTCTGTACTCGGAATAGAAAAGTTCCGTCACCCAAAAGTTTATATTAACATAACGATTTTTGAAATATGAGCTATGATGAAAATGGTTTTCTTATAGGTATGATTGGTAATTGGGCCGGAAGTTGATCTATCTAAACATATAGATTTAATTTTTTTAATCAAATTTTAACACACAATATAAATATATATATATATATATATATCGTACGATTTCTTAATGCTTAGTCTTTGAAAAAATCTAAATCTATAGAATAATATGAAAACTTTATATATCAAGAGACCAACAATACAAAATTATTACTATTATCATTATTATTTGATTTATAGTGAAATGCAAAAAAAATATACTAATTTATTGGGGGGAACTCGAATATGTTTTCGTAATTTGTGTTTGTAATCAAATATATTGAGATTAATATATGTATATATATATATATGTTTATGTATATACTACAAATAATTATAATATATATTTTAAACAATAAAATTTGAAAAACATATCTCAAAATTTATTTTTTTAAATCTTTTTAAAATTATGAGCTATGATAAAAATGGTTCTTTATAGATATGTACAGTGTAATATTATTTTTAAAATAATGGGTATTTTTAAAATTTTTAACTTGCTAAAACTCGAAAAACTTCAAAGTCTTAGACACAAAGTGCTCATCGAATCTCTTTTTGTGTAAACATTTTTTTAAAATTACACAATGGTAGGTCCCACAGGCCACATTTAATTGTGATTTATTACAATTGACAATGAAAGTGGAGTCTGAGAGCACATGCATGGTGCAGGGATAATAATGGGAATAGGTTTTTTTGGTTGGGTATAAAGCTCTACGCCTTCCCTATATGAGATCCACTTGTTCCCTCTTCCAAACACGCCTTCATGCTCGATTTTCGGCCACACCATTTTCTTCTGAACCCATAGTTTATCTACCCCTCCCCTCCTCCACATATTATTATTATTATTATTCTTATTTTTTTTTATCTGAATTGATTCTCATATCAGGTTTTATGTTAAATTCGTGTAATCTGTTTATGTCTGAATTGAGTGTTGACTCAAAATGGATTTTGGCTTTCTGAATCAGGTTCAAAAAGGATAAGGTTTTGTGGGGGTTCTGATTCTGTCTTTTTGAATGGAAGCTAATATGACGCCGATGGTCCGGAGAATGGCTGCTTTTGCATTTGCTTCTGCCTCAAGTCTGCTTCAGACTCATCCCCTAGGAAGAGGTACTCTGAACAACTTTTTGCATTGTTCCTCTGTCTTAAGCTGTCGGAGATCGGCTTTTTCCGATGTTAGAGACCGCAATATGTCATACAGAGATAGATTGAGATGTCGGGTTCATGATTGTCATGCCGAGGATGCTGTTGATTTGTTCGATCAGATGGTCCAGTTTCATCCCTTACCTTCCATCGCCGATTTTACTAAACTATTGAGTGCAATCATGAAGATGAAACAGTATGATGTTGTCATTTCCCTCTGCAAGAAAATGGAATTGCTTGGGGTTTCACATAATATCTACTCTTTGAGTGTTCTCATCAACTGTTTCTCCCACTCGCAAGTGTTTTTGGGTTTATCTGTCGTGGGCAAAATCTTGAAACTCGGTTACAAGCCTAATGTAGTCACCTACAATACCCTAGCTCATGGTTTCTGTATCCACGGAAAGATTTCAGCGGCTTTAAGCTTGGTTGACCAAATGGTGAAAGAGGGATACAAACCTAATGTTGTAACATTTAGTACTTTGATCAACGGGCTTTGCCTTGAGGGTAGAGTTTCTGAAGCATTGAGTTTATTTGATCAGATGCTAAAGATGGATTGTCAGCCCGATGTAGTTACATTTGGCATTCTTATAAACGGGGCCTGTAAGGCAAGAGATTATGCATTGGCCATGAATCTACTCGAGAAGATGGAGGAAATGCATATTGAGATCAATATCGTAATTTATAATACGATCATCGACTATCTTTGCAAAGCCGGACATGTGGAGGGTGCACTGAACCTCTTCAGAAAGATGGGTAGTTGTGGGATTGTACCAAATGTAGTAACTTTTAATTCTATGATAAATGGTTACTGCACCGCTAATAGGGTCGAAGAGGGTATTAATCTCTTTTATGAGATGTCTCGAAGAGGATTGGTTGCTGATGTAGTTACTTACAGCATCCTCATCCAAGGGTTTTATCGAGTAGGCAACCTTGGTGCTGCCCAAAAGGTTTTCATGCAGATGCAGTATAAGGGTCATCGACCTAATCTTGTGACTTATAACATTGTGCTTGATGGACTTTGTAAGAATGGAAAAACAGACAAGGCACTTTGTCTATATAATAAGTTGGATAAGAGTGGGATTGACCTCGATATACCTCTCCATAGTTGCATGATGCATGGTTTGTGTAAGGTTGGGAGGGTTGACGAAGCGTTGATATTATTTAATAAGCTTCTTGACAGAGGGGTGAAGCCGAATGTTATCATGTATAACATAATGATATCCGGACTTTGCGGGAAAGATTCATTGTATGAAGTCGAGAAGGTAATTGGTAAGATGAAAGAGGATGGTTGTTTTCCCGACGATGGTACGTATAACGCATTGATAAGGGGTCGTCTTAGAAGTCGCTTTCCATCGATGGTTATCGAGCTGATACGAGAAATGCGGAGCAATGGCTTTTCTATGCATGCATCGACCTCAAATATGATAATGGGTATGGTATATGAAGGTAGATTGGAAAAGGGGGTTTTGGATCTCCTCTCTTAGTAGATGTAAGTACTAAACGGCTGATGAAAAGGGCCAGCATCACATGGTTGTTTGTTTGATGAGAAGAACCAGAAGCTATCCAGGTTAATTATCTCTATGTTTCACTTTCTATGTTTTCAATATCATAAATCCTGTGTCTTTGTTTGTTTGGGCACAGCCTGCCTCCTCATTGGACGTCTGATTGGATCTGTTTTTTTTTCCTTTTGTCATTCAGACATCTTTGGATATTCTGAGTGTTTTGAGGTAAGAACACTATTGTCACTGGAGCTTCAATCCACTCTGAAGCATGATTTCAGATGCCTTTTCATGACAAATCATTCCCCTCTTGTTGGGAAGTTGCATAAGATTCTGATGAAAATGTTTGTCTAAGGCATGGTAAAATCAAAGACTCAATCAAATCGAGCCTCGTCTCAGAAAGCTTCAGAAACTCATGGCTCTTCGGTCGGAACTCGGACATCACGACCAACTTCAAAAAACGAAACAGCAGCTCGAGGGCATGGAGCAGAGGCAGTAGCAAATGATGTATTGAGGTAAGAACAATAATGCCCCCTGGAAGTTGAGATACTTTTTTAGCCCCTGCTTTTGGAAAACTGGGTTTTTTTCCCTTTTGTCATTCAGGCTACCTGAAATATAGTAGATGTACCTGCAGATAGTTTCATGGATCCGGACACAGATTCTGGCGTTTTTGTGGACCCTGATTTGTTGGTGAATGGTTCTGTACCCATTGACATTGATGACATTCCTCTCGATCCAGACATTGACCCCACCCCTTGAAGACTTTCTCGCGTCAAGCCCTGTGCCTGATGATATGGATTCATCAGCAACAGCAGATGTTAGAATTGAGAACAAGGAGACCAAGAAGAAGCAAAATGGGTGGGACAGAGCCAAACATATGGACAAGCTGACCGGACAGATGGGTCTTCTCTCGCCTGAGGTCAAAGACCTACCCAGGTATTTTTCGAGTTTTCAGTCAAACCCTAAATTTACAGTGTTCCTCCTCATTGGATCTAATTGCTTTGTAACAGAGATTCTTCTTCTTTTTTTTCTCTTTTTGTCATTCAGGCAAGAGCCATGATCCTTGGGTGTTCCGAGTGTTTTGAGGTAAGAACATTGCTGCCCCTGGAGCTTCGATCCACGCCGAAACATGATTTCAGATGCCTCTTCATGACAAATCATTCCCCCTTGTTGGTAGAAAATCAAAGGTGAGAGAGTCTGTGTTTGTGTCTCATTTGTTACAAGAAGAAGAAGCAATGCAATCCGTGCGTCGAAAGAGGTCAGAATCTCTGATCCCGCTTCCTCGACATCCGAAAGAAACCAATCTCTGATCCATCATTAGCTGTCTCGGTTTCCCTTACAAGCTCTGTAATGTGTTTTGTAGCTTTCGGAGACGGGAAAATGAAAAAAAAAAAAAAAGGGCTAAACTTTCTCGAGCGAGGACTATGAGCTGAAGCCGAGGAGGAGCTGCTCAAAGACTGGAGTTGAAGATGGCAAAGGCTTTTGTTTAATGTCAATCTGATTAGGGTTTTGCTGAGGATCTTTTATTTTACAAAAATAATTACGTAAATATTTTCTACTGTTTTTTATATTTCATTCTTTAGTTAAAAATTATACCATTCGATTTTATTATGATAACATCTTGGCCCATTTAACTTGCCAATTGATTATTAGCTTGGCCCAATCTATAAACAAATGTAGTTACATATATAACGTATATTCTTTTTTATCGATGTGTTTTTCAGTAAATACATTTATTTTTATTTATTTTTTGCATATAATCCACATGTCATTTTGTTTGTTTTTTTAATTGTTTTTTTAAATGTGGGTTTCCAAATAATATTTGGGCCCAGGCCCATCAAATATGAACGCATACCAAAACAATGTATTATATGCGTAATCCAACAATTATATACAAAAAAAAAACTTTTTTTCAATTTACAGTATTCCATATACAATTTATGGTATAAATCATAACACTTTTGTACATAATCTTGCTGACATCATCATCATCATATATATATATGTAAGACTATTAAGCTGAAAAATATTAGAAGAACAAGAAGCA